TTTTTTCCTCCATAGCTTACCTGTCTAATATCAATCTGTCAGGAGATAGTGACAGAGTGAACAAATATGTTAAAAATATATTTTTAGAAAAGTTACATACTGCACCTTTAAGATAATAGTTTATTTCAGTTTGGCTTTGCATGCAGCGCCGTTTGTGGAGTCGTGTCCAGGATGTCCCCTGCCTCTTCCTTAATGACAGCTGGGACAGTCTCCAGCCCCCCTCAGACCCTCTCCGTCTGCTCCTCCTGCTGAACAGGAGGAGCAGACGGATCTGTGGATAAACTGTAGGTGATCGATTCCTAAAACTGAACACTTCCACAATATTACTCCTAATTACCTCAGACTGTCTTTAGGTGTTAAGTCTTTTGTTGTTTAGAAATGCCTTCAAATTGCATAGAAATGATTGAACAGGCTCTTATTTTTTATATAAAACAGGATTTTTTGAATCTCGTTGAAGTCACATAACTGTATCAAAAAGCCTTTTAATTTCATCCATAAATCAGGATTTGATGATGTCACCTGTGAGATCAAATTAAAACAAACTGAGACTACTGTAAACGCTGAATTAGTTTTTTTTTTTATAAAAATTAAATTAAGGTATTTATTCATGACATACCTTAATACCGCCGCTTTCAATTTTGTGCCAGGTCCAAAGGGGGTGGGGGTAGCCGACAGACTTACAGTGGAGCACAGCGGTGTCCCCCTCGTTCTTATTCTCACTCCGCTTGTGCCCCGTTATCAGAGGAGCAGCTGAACCAAGAGAAATGATAATTAATTCTTAAAAAGACATTGAAAAAAAATGCTGTTTTTACCTTTATAGACAGAATCTGTGTTAAGCTTTTTATCGACCTACATATTAAATAATTCCTTCACAAAATATCCAATGAAACAACAATTAGCACTACGCATTATTCTGAATCCTAACCAGAAACCTGTTTCTTTTCCTCCCTGAATTAAAAGAAATGCTCCCTGGAATAATTGGTAAACCTTCTCAAAATCCAATTTGCATTTGTGACAGCAGAAAAGGCTGACCGGATTTTACCGTTGAGACCTAATCCTGTCGCCATCAGACAAACAAGACACCATCTGTTGCTACTGAGCCGGACATCGGCTGAACGAAGGTGTCAAGGGAGCCGGCTGCACCCCCCCTCCCCTGGAGCAGCCAGCAGAACCGTTAGAGACCACAGGTCCTCACAAGACGAGGCCTGCGGCTGCTCGAGGTGCGTGAATCAAACGCGGTTCTGAAACATGCCTGCAGCTCGTGAATCAACACCTACATCTGACTTCGATGGTGGCGTTGGCAGAGAGCGCATTGTTGAAGTTGAAGACGCACGTGTACACGCCTGCGTCGTCTCCTCTGGGTCTGTTCAGCCTGCAGAGGACACACACACACACACACACACACCAGGTCAACACACAACGGACTGTGCGCGGCGCTTCGCGGGCTCACTTCCTCACCTGTGCTCGAGGTTCTTGTTTGGGCCACGAGAATCGTGGATCATCTCCCCGTTCTTCATCCAGTAGCTGTCCTCGAAGCTGCCGGAGGTGCTGGTCAGGTTGCACTGCAGGACGAGACTGTCCATGTCGCCGGTGAGGATGATGCTTTCAGAGGCAGCGATGGACGGTTCTGCAACAAAGAAAACAGCCAAATAAAAGAAAATAACAGAAATAAAACCTGCCGGTACCCACGGTTTGAGGCTGTTGTTGTTTAGATCTTCCCAAATGCAGTCTGGCGAGCAGGACTTCTGTTCTTTACACAAAATGTAACAAGAAAAAAAGCTGCAAAGTGAGAAAAAATATTATCATCACCCTGGCTTACTTTTTTATTTTTTTGTATTATACTTATTATGTATTCACAAGAGAACCAGCAGCATAGAAAAATAAAGATGAGTTCTGTGAGTCTGCAGCTCAGATTATTTCCCGTTGGAATGAGAGATTAACGCTGAAAGAACTCAGAAACTACAGTAAGTCATCAGCACTGCAGAACAAGAAACTGTCATTTTTTATATATATTTATTTATTAGGCCATTATTTAAATAAAACCAAAAAATACACTTAAGAGTTAAATATTGGCTGTGATGCCCAGATTATATAGATACCATACATCAGAAGGTAAAGTTTGATTTCTTTGAAAATGCGGTTGTTTCTGTAACGTGTTTCTGCAAGACTTCAAGTTCTGTTTATTATGTTTAACTGTAATAATGCAATGCTTTTTAACTGCTGCACTGATGTTTAAAAATTTCAGTTTTTCTTATGACTAGTCACTTCAGGCAAATGGGAAATTGATTGAAAATAATTTTAATTTTGTCTTTTCAAGTGCGTGAACTTGTTCATATTTTTCAAATAAATCAGTCAATTAAACTATATCTTATGTAGTAATAGAATCTTTATAATTTAAAGAAAACACCTTTCAAAATGAATAACTAAAAAAATAAAATATAAACACTTGAAGTAAAAAAAATGAGAGGGAAAAAAGTGATGGGCTCTACAGGTTGTAGGACTGAATTGGAGGAGGAGAACTACACAAAATCCTTAATTCTTTACGGAAATGTGTGGAAGGAGAACAAACTGATGGTGTTTTTATTCATCTTTCAGGTCCACAGGAGAGGATGGTAGCTACAAGGGAAGCTAGTGGTCCTCTGGAGAGGTTGGAGGGAGGTGGACTCACAAAGAACCAGGTAAAAAGGGGCAGGAGCTGGCTCTTCACTGACCACTCACTCTGCAGCACCGTCACAGTGGCCTGAGCTCGGATCCAGGTGGTGGCTGGGTTCTGGTGGAGGTCGTTCCGTCTTGGGTCGTTGCTGGCTCTGCACTCGTACGTCCCGGAGTCGTCCAGCGTGAGACGGGACACTCCCAGCACGCTCACCGAGTTCACACCGTACGCTGTGCTGATGGACACCCGCCGCCTGCGGGCGCCGTCCCACAGCTGCCTGAAAGAGTCCGCTCGGTTGAGCTCCGAGTACCACCACTGGATCTCCGGGGTGGGGTTACCTACTACGTCACAGTACAGCTCAAAGACGTCGCTCGACAGTTTGGTCTCTGACAGGGGTGATTTGACAAAGCCCGCTGGTGGCGGACGTTTAAAGGGGCAGGATGTCCAGAAATCAGACAAACAAAGAGGTGCAAGATGGAGAAGCAAAGAAAATGAAAAGGTTAAATCAAATCAGACAGTAAGTGACAAATGAGAAAAACAACGAGAATAGAAATAAATGAAGGAAACAGATCAAACTAAAAAAAAAGAAGCATCACCTGTTGCTTGCTTAATTAAAATGTCATAGTTCTTACTGTATATTGAAATGAGTTAATTTTTTAATTTATTTTTCTCATTTTAATCTACCCACAATTTAGTTTTAATGCATTTTTTACAAACGGTTACAAAACTCAAAATATTGATGTATGATTTTGGAAAAAACTACTTTCATTTGTCTCATACACTAGCCTGGCCCTTGCCTTCCTACGCAGCTCCGCTCAGATCTAGTTTCCCTTCACTGCTCCGTCTGGGACTTCTCCCATTGAGATGGATTTCRCTGGCAGATTTTTAGCCGGGCCAATCAGAGAAGAGAACGTCAATTTTCTGCACAGTGTCTGCTTGTAGTTTATTTTACCTGGGCCAATCAGAGAACAGAAGGTGGAGTTTTGAATGACGTCGACTTTCTGCGCAGTGTCTGCTAGTTAGTTTAGCATACGGCAGTGGAGGAAGTGAATGAAGCCAGTCTGTGTTGATAAGGCTTCAAATTAAATTAAATTTGTCTGACAAAGCAGCAGCTCTCATTTACAGTCGACTCGTTCGGCTCGGTATATTTCTCCTCTCAGTAGGGTTGTTTACAGCTCATGCGATTTCTGGTTAGCTTCTTAGCTTAGCCTCCTTCAAACCAACAACACACACATGCTTCAGCAGAGGCCACACCTCCTGCAAGAAACGATTCTCTATGCATCAAGTCCAGACTCTTGTACGAAGCAAAGTGAAGGACAGGGTCTGGTTTGAACCAGGATACTCATACATAGAACTAAACCCAATCCATAAAAACCTGAATGATCAATGATAAATCATCATCATATTGAGGCTTTTTGTAAAAAGAAATGGCCTCACATCAGTCTCAGCCATTATCTCTGCCTTTCCTGACAAGCTTTAAATGACTTCAGCTGGGATGTCCCTGCAAGGCTGCTCTTACCTAATTTATTCATTCAATGACGCCACGTTAAATCTTTCGCCTGGTTCACGAAGCGCTCGCGTGCAAAAGTCCTCCGTGTGACCTTGTCATTTCCAACACTTCCTCTCTGCTTCATAAAACCCCTTATATTCAGTCATAGGGTCAGATATGTTGAACGTTGATTAAATGTAATGTTATCCAAAAGTAAACGCAATGAAAGTGAAACTCAGACGACAGAGAGGAGGAGGAGGAGAAAGGGGACAGGGGGCTGCAGTCATGAGAGGGGTCTTAAAGCAGCATGGTGAGCTTCAGACTGAGAGGAGATTTATACAATCTGAGCAGCTCCTGGTTTCTGCAGAGAGTGTGGGCATGCTGTTATAGACCTCCCCTCTGTTTCCATAGAAGCGTTCTAAATGAAGCAACAGCCAACAACAATAACTTGTCAATACAACAGAGCTGTGCAGCAAAGTTCACAGCTGGTTCCGAGCAGCAACATGAGAAGCAGTGAAGGACGTGACGAAGGAGAAACCTCAGGTCTGGGTTTAAAAGTGCTGAGAGGCGAACACTGCCACCTCAGATAGAGCAGATGTGTGGACAGTGCTGTCTCTGCAGGCTGGTGTACAGTACGTGTCAGAATGTTGCTCACATTCAGGTTGATGGCAGGGTTAGGCTCTGCGTTGTTGGTTATCAACAGGCACTAAACAATCATTTAAATGACCAATTACGATGTCAGTTTAAAAAAAAGGGGAGAGGCATCAATTCCATTTATAAAGTTGAAACTAAAGAAAACCAAGCTAGCCTACACCCCACAAAAGAAAAGCCTTCTCAGTGTTAAGTTTATTTCTTTTTGTTTGTAGATCAATTATTACCTGATTATTGTTACGTTCACTTTAAGAGTGCCATATATGTTTAGACGTATTTCCTCAACAATCCAAAAACTACAATCATTAAATAAACAAATACTCATTTTATTAAACAAATTTTTTTAATTTAAAAAATAGTACTATAGTGAGATTTTTTTTTGCAACAATAAAAATAAACATTAAAAAACAGCTTCTGATTTCTCTAGTTTTGCACAAACTCTCCTCTGATTACACTGTTTTATTTTCACTTTTCATCAGATAAAGTGACAATCTGAAGGCTGTGATTAGTGGTAACTTTCAACAAAATACAAAATGTATCAAGAGAACTTCCTGGAGGTCAGTGGAGGGGAAAGGTTTTAAATTCGGCTGCAGATCCAGACTGAGTTCTTAGTTTATTGACCTTTACAGAAAACGCATCAAGAGCCATTTGTAGTCATCATTGTCAAATTTCAATTTTTGGTTATTTACGTAGTATTTTATGCTTATTTGCAAACAAAAATAGGCAATGGTGCTGGAAAATAAGTCAGAATGAGTGAAGGCTGCAAAGGAAGTAAAAATATTGATTTTTGCCAGAATTGAGATTTGCATAAAAATTACTCCATAAAGACACCATCTAGCAGTCCTGGTAATCCAATAACATTAAATCTTTCTAATCTTCTAATTCTTTCAAATTGACAGTATTTTCCACTTTTGGCTGCTGTAGTTCCAGCAAATCTCTTTTCTATAATATCTGGTTTCATTGCAAAGCTTGGGGAGTCCCCTTTTTAAATATTGAGCTACAATAAAGATGTTCTAGACCAAGCACCTAATCTGAACAAAGTACGTATTATTTTAAAGATTTTTAGTTGAAGAATTAAAAAATAATAGTGCAATATTGAGAAATGTCTCACTGAAACTCTGCCAGCACAGGTCACAATTCTTCCAGGATAATTTTGCCATACAAAACCAATGGATGGATGGACGGATGAAAGACAGACAGACAGACAGACAGACAGACAGACAGACAGACAGACAGACAGACAGACAGACAGACAGACAGACAGACAGACAGACAGACAGAC